GCGAGGTGCGGGCGCAACACCGAGGGTTGCGATCCCGTTGCCGGTCCCGGTCCGGTATGTGCGCGACACTGAGGGTTGCGATCCATTGCCGGACACGGAAAAAGACAAAAAGGAAATAAATAAATAAATAAATAAATAAATAAATAAATAAAAGTTTCAGAGGCTTACTTATATTCAACTTCTTAATCCACCTGGATTTTGTGTTTTGTGGATTGTGGGACGAGATCAAACTTTCACTTTGTAATGGACATTCAATTGTCCCAGCACCGTTCTTTGCAGAATGTATCCTTTCACCACGGGTTTGGGCCTCCGTCTTGTCATAAGTTTCCACACATCCACATGGGTCTGTTTCTAGATGCCTCCCCTGCTCCAGGAGTCCCTTTGTCTTTCTTGTGCCAATACTGCATTATCTTAGTCACTCCAGTTCATTGTTTCCAGCTGGCATTTTGGCCCCAAAGAGAAATGAGGGTGCCAGAGAATAAAGGCCCTCCCTGTGGAAGGTGTGTGCACTCTCTCCCAGCTGGGCTTCTCGCTTCCTCACAAGAGCCTGTTGAGGTGGAATGACTGTCCCGACTTGACAGAGAAGTGGGGGTTCAGAGAGTTGAAGTAATTCACCCAGTTCTTGCAGGATGTCCATGGTGGAGTCCTGGCTCCCTTGCAGGGCTTCTCCCTGGTAGTCCCTGAGATGCACTGCCTTCACGTGCCCTGCACTCTGCTGACACTTCCTTGCAGAGTGTCCTTGTGTTGAGGGAAAGTGGTCCCCATGTTTCTGTGAATCACTTCACTTTTTCGGTCACTCTAGGTGTGATTAAACCCACACAGTACAAGCCTGTGCCTGACGAAGAACCAAATTCAACAGACATAGAGGAAACGCTGGAGCGGGTAAAAAATAATGACCCAAAACTTGAAGAGGTTAACCTCAACAACATCCGGGTGAGGTTCCTTTATTTCACTTCCCCTGTGTGTGTGTGTGTGTGGGGGGGGAGATGTCCCGTGTCACCCAGATGCAAACAGCCCAGGCTTGCTGTGCAGAGTGAATAGGGTCCTGTTTGGACTCACGGTGTTTCTAAATCAGGAACAGGGGCAAAACCTTCACAAATAGGAGCATTGAAGAGGGGCAGACAGTGTAAACAAGCACATCCCACAGTCCTGGTTTCTTTCGGAAGATGACATCAGGCCCAGATGTTCTCCATGGGCCAGCCCAGCTTCGATCTGGAAATTTGCCATGTTATTCAAAACACTGAGAGATTCTCCGAGATAAAATCATGAGTCAGACATGCGCTGCTGCGCAGGATCTTGAGGCTAGAAAAGTCCAGTGCCCAGCGCTTGCAGGGTGACCCGAGCCCTGAGCTGTCACTGCTGCCCCATCGTGTTCATATTCAACCTCATTTTCCAGTCCCGGGGGGAGCTGTTGGCCCACATGTCCAGGGAAGTATCCCAAGCTGTCTGCCCCTATCTCTGTGGACATTTCCCTGTGTGACCACCAGGGCGAGGAGGGACAGGTGGACAGACAGTCCCTGCCGGACAGGCCGCAGGAGGAATTCAGAAGCAGGCACAGCTGCCTGCCCACCTGCTCAGCCCAGAGGCCAGCGGGATTAGTTCTGGAGGGTGTGGGGTAAGACAAGAAGCTAGCCCTCACTGCCCGGCTCCGCTTTCCTTTCTTCTCTACTTTCTTTTAAGTGGCTGCCAGCCCCTCCCCACCCCACCCCCCGCACCACAATCAGATTGGAAACCTGCACGCCAGTATTCTCCTCCACTTGGCTGCCCCATGCTCTGCTCCCCAGGGAGCTAAAGTGACGCTCTGAAATGAGAGATCGGCAAAAGCACAGCCAGGTTCTCTCTCAGGTGCCTCAGTTGTCTGCCATGTGCCCAGTAGGAGACACTAGTACAATTCAGAATTGTGCACTCTGGCAGCAGGGACCGCCTCAGGGCATATGAGGGGGTAGGACCTCACTGTGAGGCCTCAGCCAAGGGCTCAGCTCCCTCCGGGCCTCAGTGTCCCTCCTGCACCATGAGGCAGTTGGACCAGATCAGTGGTTTTCACCCTAAGAGATTAAAAAATATACTAGGATACTTCAAAAAGTTCACGGAAAGATTCATATTATCTTTTAATTCTATTTTTCCATGGACTTTTTAAAGTATCCTCATATACTATGCCAGAGATTCTGATTTTATTGGTCTGGGACAGGCCTGAGCATCACCATTTTGTAAACATTCCCCAGGAGCCTCTGATGTGCGGTCAGAGCTGAGACCCTCTGGGGTAGATGTCTCTTAGAGAATGTCTAGTGCAATCCCCCTTTGTTTTCCAGAAACAGATCCAGAGAGGGGAAGAGACTTACTTCCCCAGGGTAACACAGCAAGTCAGGAACATCGCCAATCGCTGGGCCAGCGGCCAAGCTCCAGCCTCACCACACACCCCCAACTCCTAAGCTCTTTGCAAAACACACCACCAATCTCCACGCCTTGATTCTTGCCTCTCCTCCAGCCTCCACATGCACAAAGAGAGAACTGCAGGTCCTATCTGAAGTTTTCAGGGAGAATTTTCTCAACCTGTTTATCAGAAAGTTCTCCCCAGATCTCAGCCATCTCAGACAAGGCTGGAACACTTTGTTCATTCAGCTTTTTGGCCAAAGGCTTTCTAGGAAATCAGTGAGGGGCCAGGCTTATATACGTGAGAGTCACTGCCCCATCTGCCTGCCGCAACCTGTCCTGGTGGGGGCTGCCAGTCACTCTCCCTTCTGCCCTTCTCTCTGCAGAATATCCCCATAGCCACCCTCAAGGCATACGCAGAAGCCCTGAAAGACAACCCATATGTGAAGAAGTTCAGCATTGTGGGGACACGGAGCAATGACCCTGTGGCATATGTATGTACCTTTCTGTTCTGCTGCATTAAGGGTGGGGGGCTTAAAAATGGAAGGTTGATACTTGTGGCCTCCGGATGGTTTGTACGCCATTAACGAGGAGCCCTGTGTGGTGTGGTGAAAGGACTGTGCTAAGAACCAGAATGGCCATCACCTGGGCACCATCTGCCCTCATCGCAGCTCATCCTCACAACCACGACTGGTCCCAGAGATGCACGTCTCCCCACTTTGTACATGAAGAACCTAGCGTTCCGAGAGGTCAGGCACTGCTTTGTCCAAAGTCACACAGCAAGAGGCAGGTGGACTTGGCATTCAAATGCAGTCACTCAGCGCATCACATTTGCACGGGGTCTGCCCCTCCCTGTGCCTCAGTTTCTCCATCTGTAAAATCAGTGTCTTCATCAGTGGGTCCTTATGAGCAATTTTGTTTTTTGCTTCTGTCTCCAGTGATACTGCTGATCACATTAAATTGTACTTATTATAAAACAGTCATCAATTCTGTTTTAAAAAGAAAACATTCAACACATATTTATTGAGAGTCTCTGTGCCCAGCACTGGCTAGGCTCTGGGAATACAGCTGTGACGAGACAGTCTCAGCTTCCACTTTCATGAACATACTGGTCCATTTGGCCATGCAGACAAATGAAGGATGACAGTACAGTGTGCTCACTACAATAGTAATAGCAGGTAAAAAGTGCAGGGATTAGCTTACCAGGGGTGGATTAATACCAATCAATTCTCTTCTGATTTTTAAAATAGGACAATTTTCCTTGATAGTTTTGAAATGATAGAAATGGCACAGATTCTCATTGCTGCTAGTGGGGGACCTCTGGATTGATGACCTCTGATCTCAGAAGATCTCCAGTGGATCCTGAGTTTGCCATGGTGACACAGCTGACAAAGCCACATGCCCTGTATACTACTATGCCATGGATCAAAAACCAGCCACATTCATGCTGCCACTAAACTCAACACCACAAATGTGTATTGGGCATGACTCTGTGCCAGACCCACAGTTGGCATCAGCCCATTCATATGAGGATTCCCATTGTCAAATACTGAGAAGCTCTGGGCCAGTTTGGTAAATCAGGCTGCCAGAGCTCTGTAAATGCCCCCATTGCCTGCCCCGGCTCTTCTCTTAGAACCTGGTTTACTTGCCTACTGGTTGTTATATTTTGATGATTAGGCCAGGCTAGGTTTTTTCTGGGGAGCTGGGGGTACTGTGGAGGGCTCAGAGAGAACACAGATTGGAAGGGCAACCTACTCAGAGAGACAGATGTGGTCACAGAGAAAGCTGGCATGCCATCCCGTGGGCACACTGAAGTGGGGGGAGCTGAGGAGGGGGTGGAGGCTTCCTGGGTCTGAGGCTCACGGAGGGTTTCAGCAAGCAGGGACAAGAGGGCAGCCATTCCTGGCTCAGACAGAAGGGCCCACCGGTCAGGATGTCCTGGGCCTATCAGCTGCTGGTGTCTTCTTTCCTTCATGACACATTGTTTCCACCAGCTGCTAATTACCTCATTTCCTTCAGAGGCTCTGATTGTCATCTACACCCCCTAACTGGATTCCTCTGAAATGTGCTGAGGGCCACCTGGGTGCTTCTCCTCTTGTTTGCCCCGGTCACTTGCCCAGTGGGTTCCCTCTTCTGCTCTCTGGTGCTCAGGTGGAAAAAACATTGTCTCCTTGGAGTTTCAACAGGGCAACAGAAGAGACAAGTGGAGAGTATATAGAGGAGGTTGAGACTCCACTGGTCACTCAGTGAACACCACTGCTTGAGGACCTACTGTGTGCTGGGCACTGTGGGCACCAAGGGATGGATCCAGTGCATTCTCAGCCCATCAGAGTAGTGAGTGTAATGGCAGAGACAACACCAGTATAAAAACAACTCTGGGCAGAAGACTACAAGTTCCCTGAGGGAGTTACAGATAAATTCTAAGAGGGTTCCCAAAGGCAGGCACAGCTAGCTGGGGATGGCAGCAAAAGCTCTCAGGGCAAGGGGCCTTAAGAATGGCCTTAAAGGATGGGCAGGGTTTGGACAGTGAAGCAGAAAGGAAAGGTCACTCCAGGAGGTGCGGATGGAATGGGCAAAGATAGAGCAGGGGGAAGCACTGAGCATGTGCAGGGAACTGCACATAGGAAAGAGCATTGACTCTGGACAGGGGAGAAGAGCCAGGTCGTAGTAGATTTGGATGGAGGCTAAGCAGCATAGAATTCTCCAGTCAGGGGTCAGGAGCCATGCAAGTGGGAAGGGAGGAGGGACGCAGTCAGAGCTGTGCTTGGTGAAGGAAGTTAGGGGATCATCTTGCCTGATCCCCCTGGTATTTTAGGTCTCCCCAAGAGGGCCTCTAGCCTTGCTCAGGGTGACTCAGGGTGCTTTCCTCCTGTGGTTCAAGGCCCTGGCTGAGATGCTCAAGGTGAACAAGGCATTGAAGACGCTGAACGTGGAATCAAACTTTATTTCTGGAGCTGGGATCCTGTGCCTGGTGGAAGCCCTTCCACACAACACTTCTCTGGTGGAATTGAAAATCGATAACCAGGTAAGATGGGCAAGGGTCTCCGTGTGTCCTTTCCTGTGTGCCACTTGCTGTTCTGCACTTTCCCACGTGCTGCTGGATGGAGCAGGCAATGCTGATTACAGAAAGTCCAGAGCACAGCTTTGCAACACTCCAAAGGTCATCTAGTCCGCACTCTACCATGCCCACCTTCCTTTCTCATCACTCTCTCCCCATGCTCTTCACCTGCTGCTTGTGTCCCCCTAGTGATGGGGGGCTGACTCCTTATCAACATCCCTCTTCCATTCTTAGGCAGTGAGAATCCTTATCCTTCCTTATATCCAGTAGAAATCAGCCCTCTGTAAGTCCTGTTTGTTGGGCTTAGGTCTGTTCTCTGCTCTTCCTGGCACACCTGGTGTGCAGATCTCATAAATCACTGGACTCTTCTTCACCAGGTGAAATATCCCCATTTTCTTCAATCACCCCTTTCAATTGAGCTTTTTAGTCTCCTCACCATTCAGGATATTCTCAGCCAATTCTAGTTTGCCTCTATCCTTATGGAGGTGCTGTTTCTATATAATTTCTGTGGTTCGGTCATTTGTCTGTAGTGAAACTCAGTTCTTTCTGAGAGGATGCTAATAACAATAGCTTGTATGTAACAACATCTTGTGTGTTATGTGTGTTGCGTGTCTAATGTGTGCCAGGCTCTGTGCTCTGCACCTTACATCCATCATCTCTGATCTTCAAAACAAACCTGCAGGATGTGGGTATCATCAGTCTCAGTCTGCAGAAGAGAAAACAGCTCAGCCAGACTAAAAACAAGCAACCATCTCAGGGTCACAGAGTCAGCACTTAGGAAGCAAGATTTGAATCCAAGTCTCTCTGACTCCAAAACCCACACTCCTCCCACTACAACACATTACTTCTGATATTAAAATGCTTTCTTCTTTATCGATAGGGTACTCGGAGGTTTTTTCTGCATGAAAATTTTTGCTGAATGGTTGTGTAAATGTATGCATGGGAAAAAGATTAGAAAGAAATATTACAAAATTGTAAACAGTGGTTATACCTGAGTGGTATTATCATTACTTTTAAACTTTTTATTGTAAAATATGACAAACATACAGCAAAGTACATAAAACTTAAATGTACAGCTTAATGAATCATACCAGGCATGTATCCCCTATTCAGGTCAAGAAGTAAAACACTACCAGCCTCCAGGAGACTTTGACGGTCCCTTCCCAATCATAACTCTTTCAACACTCTTCCCGCCTCGACCCCCGACTTGCGTTCATGCCGCATACCTTTCCCTCTTCCTGGAATTGCCTCCTCTGCCCCTGCCCACTTCTCTGCCTGGAGAAGTCCTCCTCTTCCTTCTGGGTTCATCCGAAGCTTCTCCTTTTCCTAGTGGTTTTCCAGAGCCAGCCTGCACCAGCTTACGAGAGCTGATTGTAAACATCTCTTCCCAGCTCCAGTAAGGGCACATTGGTCTTGCCCATGATGGGTGAGAGTATTGACACTATGCAAATTAGCAAGTTGGCAAACCACAGATCAGGCCCCCCTCCCTTTTTTTTTTGGAGAGCCAGCATACCACTCACTGTCTTCTCCCATTAGCCTGCCATGGCTCCTCCAAGCCTCTGCCCAGAGAGAGTTAGATGCTCCCTTCCCTATGTTCCCCTAGCACTCTGGCTTCCCTGTGTGCTTCTCAGAAGCTGGTACTGTGTCTGAGTCATCTCCATATCCCAGGGCCCACCTCAGGACTTGGCCCTACAGGGATGCTTCGTAAGCCGGGTTGCCCTGGATGGTTGTGCATATTGTTCACAGCACAAAAAGGTGGGCAAGAGCAAAATTCAACCCACAATCTGCTGTCTAAGCTGTGTGTTTCAGTATGGGGCTTGTTCACCCAGAGAGGGCACTTTTTTCTAATTCATCTAAAGCAGCCACATGAGCCAGCAGCAGCCCCGCCATGAGAATTTGCTGCACTGGACTCCTGCATTTCCCACATGCCAGTGGCCTTGCTGCTGCATCACCCATTCCCTGCCCCTCCCCCCTTGGCATTGCTGACCATGCTCTATTGGAGGCAGGAGGCACAGAGCAGATGGAACAAAGGCAGGCAGCAGGCTTGGCAGTAGCCCTGAGCCAGGCCCTGGGATTGGCTACCCGTGTGACTCCAGGCCTGGCCAGGCAGGGAGTCAGGGTCCACCCTGAGTCAGCTGAAACCTGACTCCCAGGGCTGGGTGCACTGGTCTCAGGTCATTGTGATGGCAGCTGCCAGGGAGCTGCCCAGTTTCCCTCTCGTGGCTGTGCCCCGGAACCCAAGATGGAGCCAGTGCTGACCACCACCACCACCCTGGCTCAACACTCTGATGCAAGTACATTCACTTCTCTGATCCTCAGAGTTCTCTCTTGTAAAATGGGAATAATAAAACTCTTTGCTTCTAAGGAGATAACAGTTGTAAACTCTGAAGTTGTTAACTTTCAGTATCACTCTGAAGGCAATCTAGGCAGTTGACACATTATTCTAAACGTTAATTTATTGAGCAGGTACATGAGCCAGGAACCGTACTGGGTGGTTTGCATTCATTCTCTCATTTAGTGCTCACAAAGACTCTGTGAGTGGGGATGACAACCCTCCCCTGCATTATAGATGAGGAAACTGAGTACCAGGCCAGGTATGTAACCTGCCCATGGTTACACAGCAACTAAGTGACAGAGGCAAAATTTGAACCAGATCTGTGTGACTTCAAAGTCCATGCACTGTGCCTGTCTGGGTTCTTGAGACAATTGTAGTCTCAGGTGTGCCTAGCTTGACTTTGTTCATCTGTCTCTTTCCCCTGGTACAGGGCATAAGCACTGGTCACCACGCCCTCCTATCTTGTGAGTCTCTTTTTTGGTTCATCTCGGTATTTGGTGAATGCCAGCTGCTTGCCTGGGCTGTGTTGGGCTCCGTGTGTAAATAAGGCTCCAGCTTGGCCCTCCAGGAATTCCACACTGGAGGAGAGGAAAGACAGGTGCAGAAAAGACCACCATACCAGATGCTCCAGCAAGCACAGCCAATGGGCCACGAGCTGCATTGGAGGAAGCAATCTCAGCAAGAAGCAGGCATCAGGGAGCACTTCTTGGAGGAGGTGGTATTTGAGATAAACCCATAGGGTAGAAGGTATCTCAGAAGGTGAAATGGAGGCCATGCCATCCAGGTGCAGGGAACCACTAGAAGAGTGGGGAAAGCTGTAGAACCCACTCAAGCAAGACTCATGGTACTCCCAGAGCAAAACCAGAAAGGGAGTTGGGAGTCCGAAGAGCTTTGAATGGGTAGGTTTGGGGAAAGTGGGCTGTGGCCTGTGCTCTGGGAAGACAGTTCCTGGTTGAATGGGAGAGGATTGGGGAGTGGGGAGAGGGCATCGGGGCTGGGAGACCAGACGGGAGCTAGGGCCACCAGGATGAGGGCGCCTGTGGGAAGGTACTCCTGCCTAACTGGAGATGGGTCTGCTGGTGAGTGATGGCTGGTGGCAGGTCTCAGGAAGGGGGCTTCGCTGACCTAGGCTCAAGAAGGCCATTTGCACCTCTCACAGTGTGTCCCAGGGCCTGGGCACAGCAGGGAGGAGGCGGGGGAGTGTGACACAGGGGAGGTAGTGAGTGGCATTTGATTTATTCCTCATTCTTTGGAGGCTGGAGCTTTTTCCTCAGTCCTGTGCTTAAAACCTGTGGTAGGGAGTCTCTGTCCTCCTTTCTCCTTATACGGCCAAAGAAAGGGACTTGGGGAGTTCGACCAAGATGACATAGAGCCTCACAGGCTGGCTTAGGACACAGTTGGGAACCAGGGCTCTCAGGCTGTTTGTTTATTCAACCAGTCTCTTCTCAACTCCAAGCAATGTTCTGCTGCCTCCTGGAGTTGCCTTGAGACTGCAGTGAGGGGGGGAATGGAGCTGAAGGACAGAGATAATGTCTAGCCCAGCCCTCCTTTTCCAGGTGGGAAACTGAG